TCCCTTTTATGCACCAAAACATACTCAAGAGAGGAACCCCATCTCGGTACAGACTACTCAAACTGGAAGCAAAACAGCGAAAGGGCTTTTGACATTCACAACGAGGGAGGGTTTATGCTTCTGGACATCATGCTAGCTCCCGTTCTGAACAAGTGAGATGATTACTTTTGTCATTTAAAGAATTTGCCTCGGATGTTCCATCCCAAGGTGATGTTCAGGCAACGATTGTCCTAGAACTTTCCTTTTTCTTGAGTGCATCTCTTTGGTCCACGAAGCACTCACTGCTCAGCTGATAGAGTGGGTGACCTATTTACCAACAGGGGCCAAATGCTCGCCTTTAAAACACAATGAACAACATGGAGAGACCATGGCCCCAGAAGTTTGTTTGAGTTGTTATTTATCATTTAAGCTAGAGAGGCTTTGGACCAAAATCCAAGGCAGCACTGGGTGTCAGCAAGGAACAGTTTTTAGATAAACTACATAGGTCACACATAGCACAGTTTAATTTTATCATATCATGTCTTGGGGATCTGTAAACCACTCTAGTGATTAAAGCCACAAGAATTAATCAACTTAAAAGTTCAACTAAGTTAAAGGAGGCAAAGTAATTCTCAGAAAACTCTTGAACAGAAAAGGACAGTGAGTGAATAAGAGAATCATTAAATCGTAAGAGTTGGCAATACAGTTTTCCATTGCTATTTAATTATTGCACCAAAGAGACATGGGCAGTATGGATATTACTTTAAGGACTTTTTCCTTGAAAATTACGGGTATCTTAATTCACGATTTTTCCTTTCAAATAATTGCACATTCGATCACAGCTTTCTAGAGACAGAAAACAGAGGAAGTGGAGCCTAGATTCACCATCTTAACCCAAAAGCAGCAAGGATGCTCAAACCACAACAAAGATTTTAACACTACTGCATTTTTTTTTGCTTTAGTTCTATATACAGAAATAAATATAAATGCAAGTTCTATAAAATAAGTATGAAAACCCCTAGTGCTTCTAAAACTAAGGGAGAAAACAGCTCTTAGAAAGGGGTGTTAGGTGCGAGACAGAAGGCAAATCCCGGGACTGGCCCAATAAACACTCAAAATTCTATGAGATAAATCAGGGAAACGAGACCCATTTTCAAAAATGATCAAGAGGTTGTAGGAGGGTCAGAGATGACAGTGTTAAAAGTTTGCATCGTTTCAATGTACTGGGGGACAAAATCAAAGCCAACGCAGGCCATCAGCTCTCACATAGGCTCAAATGAGGAACAGGAACCTAGAAGCTATATGGCTCAAACATCACGTGGGACTCAAAGCTGGACCACACGAACCCAATTTTGAAAGCGACAGATGAGTTCTCCAAGCCATGGAGTTCTGTGGCGAAGTGAACTAGGTTTTGTTTTCATTGGGTTGGAAACGCAGAAGTTCTGGAATGCCGACAGTGCCCTGTTCGTTTTAGGTTGTAAACGTTTGTACTTCTTGTAGACAGGGTATTTTTACCACACAGCACACACGCGGTCAAGAAGCCAGGGGCTGCCACAAGCACTGCTAGTTTCAGGGCAGGCTGAGTGATGGGCTCTTGCCGTGAAAGTCATGGCGGCGTTTCCGTTTCCCAGGCTTACATGGGATTCGGGTTGCTGGGCGTCTGCTTAGCTGGCTCCAGGGGGTGAGGAGAGGCGTAGGGTACCTGGGGCCTGGCACACGAGAGGACTTTGTTCCCAAAGTAGGAGCCAAGAGAGACAGATCAAGACATTTTTGGCTTAGGGGCTGAAGTGGCATGGGGGATACACGCATCAAATCCACTTTTTCATCTGGAATCAACAGGGATACAACACAGCAAAATTCTCCTTGGAAACTGGCCCTATTTTTTAAGACAGAGGCTGGTGAGAGGTGAATCCTAGAGAAATGATGACCACGTTCCAATTCTGGAACAGAATCGTTGCTGATGTGAAGCACACCCAGCACGGCGGAAATTTCCACAGAAGCCAAGTTCAGGAGGGCACTGGTGACAGTCAGAGGAAAAGCACCTCCTTGGTTCTATTTTTGGCTCTCTCCAGGGGCTGGAGAGAGGGCTCCTGGACAACCTCCATGATGATGGCTCCAGGCAAGTCCTGTGCTGTGCTCACAGCCAACTCCTTACCATGTGTCCACAGAGCTGATGGTGACCACTGGCCACTACGGCACAAACAGAGATGAAGTGAACTGTAAGGATGGAGGATAAGGAGAGTCTTGGGCATTCGGTCCTAGGGGAAGCAAATGCTTTCCCTGGCAACGGAGATGGCCATATCCTGCCTGGGCCGCCTTCCGGTTCTCTGGTTGGGTTTGGCAACTGTCTCCCCCACCCCAGGAGATCTCTTCACTCAGGTTAGCACCTCCTCCTCCATGCCACAGCTGGAAAGGGCAAGAGAAGTGACATTCGTCCCATAGCACTTGTGATGAAGGAGCCACGGCGTTCCTTATCCCCGTCTCAAATGAAACAGAAAGAGCTCAGCTTGAAAAGGCCACAGTGAAGGATCACAAAAGAGTCAGTGCGGGGGAAATGCCAAAGATCTTGAAATGGATGCCCTCTCCACTCGTTTGACAGAGTTTAACTCCACAAGACTGAGCATTTAAGGCCAAAAGCATGAGGCTGAGAAGGTAGAGGAAGGAGGCTGAGGAGAGGTCAAAACTTGAGCTTAGAAGAGACGTGTCCAACTGCCGGCCAACCAGGCAACCCAGGGATGCTTCCGTCCTCACGACAGAGCCGGTCATCGTGCAGGGCTTCTCTTCTCATCTGCATCTTCAGACAGATCCCTCTGCCAAAGCTTAAAACTTGGCTGTAGAAGTCAGTGGCATGGGAGACCCAAAGGCCTTGACCGCGAGATACGTGGTTTTCATTTCGGCTGCAACCGCTGCAGAATGTCAAGAAAGGTTAGCCTCGGCCATCAAGGATTTCAGCATTCCACAGCCCAACATGCCTTAAAATGCTGCAGAAATGCAGGCAGCTAGTGAGCCCACCACATGATCTGACGGGAATTGTTGGGACTCCAGTCCAAGAGACGGGCTCGAGGTCACTGTGGTCGGGAAGCAGCAGGAGGGTGTGAAGCCTCTGCTTTCAGTGTCCACTTCAGGACCACGTGAAGGTTTGGATTCCTTGCATGTGTTTGGAAAGGCATTTAGCAGCTGGGCATAGTGGCTCACGCCTGTAATTCCAGCAGTCTGGGGAGGCCGAGAAGGGAGGATCAGTTGAGTTCAGGAGTTTGAGACCAGCCTGGGCAACACAGTGAGACTTTGTCGCTACCAAAAAAATTAAAAAAAAAAAAAGGCAATCACCACATAAGAATACTGTAGCCCATGTGGTCTGAACGGACGGTATCAGCTCACTCAAGATGAGACACAGACGACATCCAGGGCAAGAGGCCAGTCAATTCTCAGAGCCACCGATTTGTCTGCACATGACTTAGTGGATTTAATGAAAACAGCCCAAGAAATTTCACGAACACCCTCAGAAGCGAGATGCAGGAACAGCAGAAGCAAAGCTGGGGATGCACGCTTTCTTTCCTTCCTTTTTCTGGTTTCAACCAATCTGCCCCTCTCTTTCTAGCCTGCACATGTCAAAGGCAAAGGGAGACTGCCAGACCCCTCTGTGCCGAGACCTGTCACCTTCCAGAAACCCAGGTCCAGAGTGAGGAGAAATCACCCAAGACCACAGAGTTCATTCTTAGCAAAGCCAGGAGGCAAGGCAGCAGACTCCAGATTCAGTGCTCGCTGGTATGTGGCATGCCAGGAACTCACGCCTCATCACGCCTGGTGCCTATGTAGCATGCCAGAGTGGAAGTAAACAGAACGGATACTCAGAAGGACTATCTCGCTGTGACCTGCCACGGTGATCCTCCCAACAGGCCGTAGCTGGCTCATGAGATGCTTTCTCCAAATCTCTTCCCATCCTTGCTCTCTGAAGTCAAGCGTCTCCTTCAAAACATAATACAACATCTCTCTGAAGGAGTCACTCCCTGCTCTGGCTGCAATTAAATGAGAACACTGGAGATAGCTGAAGTCCATTAAAAGAATGCAGCTGGAGTCTGTCTCTACAGACACCCAGGATTCAGTTGCTCAAGAAAAACCATCTTGGTGCAAAGAGATGTCAGCCTTCCTTATCACCCCATCCCTCCTAAAAGGCACCTCTGACAGAGGACGGAGGCTTAGTCCATCTGTTTAGAACCGCATCTTGAAATGTCACCGAACTACAGCTGTGTTTGACAAAGGTGTCACTACCAAAATCAAGCTGCAGTGACAGCAGTTGCCATGCAACCAGAGTCACTGCATAGTAGGAAGGGGCTTCTCCAAGTGTGCCCGAGAGAGACTTCCCCAAACACGACAGCAAGGGGTTGAGCATCTTCCCTGATCACATATGCTAAGTTTCAGAGAGGCTGAGCACGGTGGCTCAGGCCTATAATCTCAGCACTTTGGGAGGCTATGGCGGGAGGACTGTTTGAGTTCAGAAGTTTGAGACCAGCCTGGGCAACAAAGCGAGACTTCACCTCTACAAAAATTTAAAAAAAAATTAGCTGGGCATGGTGGCCTATGTCCGTAGTCCCAGCTACTTGGGGAGCTGAGATGGAAGGATCGCCTGAGCCCAGGAGTTGGAGGCTGCACTCCAGCCTAGACGTCAAAGAGATCCCAACTGAAAAAATAAAAAAAAGTTTCCAAAGGCTGTGGGCTTCCATTTAGGAAACCGTGGTCACAGGGAGCTGCCGGGGAAAAAAGGAGAAACATCAACGTACGAAGAGGCTGGTCCATGTCTCGCAGGGTCCGAGGAAGGACTGTGATTGACACTCCCCAGAGGCGAATGCCTGGGACTCGGGTTTGTTTTTCAAACACAGATAGCAAACAGGCTGGTGGGCGGAGGCGGTCTTGGGCTTCTGGCTTTTTGGTGTGACTTAAGTATGTACCATTAAGCACATCCTAGAAAGCCAAAGCTCCAGTTCCGGGCACCTCTCAGACGGCATCATAGCGATGGCGGGCCATCAGTTGGCATACTGGGCGTAGAAAGCCACTTTGACTCTCTCGATCTGGTGGCACAGCTTGATGGCGGGCCCCAGCTTCAGCTCCATGCACTCCTGCACCGTCGGGAGGGTCAGAAGCAGCAGCGCCTGGCCGTCGATGTCCTGCCGGAAGAGGAAGCTGGATTAGAGAGCGGGCAGTGAGCACCAGGGCGACGCTCCTGTCCCATCAGGCTCCAGTCTGGGGCCAGGCGTGGGGTACGGCAGCCCATTTCATGGATTCTGAGGAGTGTTGGCAGAAACACCAACCGGCTCAATGACTGTCTAGTCTTTGCGTCAATAAGATCTTCTTGCTGAGGACATTCGGGCTTGTCTGAAATCCCCACCACTGCCCTGGCGGGTGCAAAGACCTGGAACAGGTGGGCTGTGGTGGGAACTGGTTCCCAAGTTATCATCCCCTGATGGGAGAGCAAATCTCCGCCCACCGGGCCAGGCCCTTCCCACGCACTGCTGAAACTTCATTCGTTCGCTAGGCAAAGGGCCCTCCACTTAAAGAAAAAGCTCTTTGGCTTTCCTGCCAAGGTCTGACATTTCATAGCCAGGACAGGGGAGATGATGCTTAAGACAGAGATGCCAGCCACATAGCAGTTTTCCAGAAACAAACCTCACCCCCTGCCCTTGGACCACACACACTGCCCAGAGTGAGGGGCTGCTGGACAGATATCTACTGCCCTGATGTGCCTTACTCAGTCCATCCATGTCTACACCTGAAGACCCACACCAGAAGATATACATTAGACGCATGTTAAATGGTTGCTGCAGGACGAGGGGTTCAAAGGCTCCCCCAAAGCTCTAAGTGCTTCCACAAAGAGACCCTTCATCTATGCCTCTCCACCAGCTCGCTTCCTGTATTCATCTGGTTTATTCACGTAGATGTCAATTGACGCACTACTGAGTTCATCCCAAGAGCCCCTTCCAACCGAGACAAGCTTCCTGGTCCAGAGGGAACAGCTGAGGCTCTAAGAGACTGCAGCCCCATGATAAGAATAAAGACCATGGGTGGAACAAGGGCATAAGCTGGACTCAGCATACAGAATTCCTGCCACCTGGACAAGTGTCACACCAGGACTTCCATAAGCCACAGGAATGTAGGAGCCGGACCTCTCGAGGACGGCCACACAGGTGGCTTGTTTTCTGAAACTCATGGTTTGGTTAGCTGTCCAAACCAAAGTGCGTACAAATGGCAGCTTCGAGAAGACTAATGTAAAGAGCAGGCATAGTTTTTCATCGGACCGGGTTCAAAAGACTAATGTTATTGTTGTTTGTTTTGTGTTGAGGCATCTTGCTGTCACCCAGGCAGGAGTACAGTGGCACAATCATAGCTCACAGCAGCCTTGACCTCCTGAGCTCAGGTGATTCTCCCGTCTCAGCCTCCTGAGTAGCTGGGACGACAGGCATGCACTGCCACGCCAGGCTAATCTCCTTTTAAAATTTTTATAGAGATGAGGTCTCGCTATGTTGCCCAGGCTAGTCTTGAACTCCTGGGTCCAAGCAATCCTCCCACCTTGGCCTCCCAAAGTGCTGGGATTATGTGTGAGCCACTGCACCCGGCCTCAAAAGCCTAATGTTAAGAGCAAGAATAACATATCATCTGATCAGATTCAAAAGCCAAAATATTTACTACTACATACAGCAGCAATAAAAATCAAGCATTGACTTTAAAAGATTCAATGCGAGAGTAATGATTTTTAAATTACAGACGGGAACAGCTACGATGTATGCAGCTAGAAACTGTGTCATCAAGACTCCAATGTGACCTTATCAAAGCACAAAGTAAACAGTAAACAGATCAGTTTTGTATAGGCCTTGAAAGTAGGAACTAAACTAAAGGAACTGTCAGTATACTTTTCGTGCTATATTTATATCATTTTTTGTCCTTTTTCTCTAGTGCTTTTACGGGTTATCTTACTTTCTTTGCAGCTGCTACTGATAAGGTTGCAGCACAGGAGAACTGGAAATTCTGAGAATATTGCCTCAAGGTCATGAAACAAACTAGGTACACCCTGGTTTGGGACCTGTTGGCCAACACTACGTCCAGAGCCCAAACCACAGCTGTTATGTCAAAATGGACAAGAGGGCAGAGGTTAGGGACACAAAATCTTCAAGAAACCACGAGCCTCATAAAAGGACACTTTAGTGGGCAGTGTATGGACGTTATAAAACCGTGGTCAGGTGGCTTCCTGTTATTTTCAATGTCATCGACAGAACAGGACAGAATAGAACCGGAACTTATTTCAGGAGACAGAAGTTTTACTTTCCAAGTGGCAGTTAATGTCCAGAAAAGCGAGCTGATCTACCTAAGACCACATAGCTGGTGGGACAGCATTGGAACTAGAATCGTGGTTTTCTGATATTAAACTCTGGAGGGAAAATTGTGGCTCAGGCTCTAACATCTACACTTGGTCATGGCAGCCATCCTTGGACATACAAGTTCAACTAGAAAATCTGCCCTAAAATATTGAGATATAAACTCTTTCTCTACAGTTTCAGCGGGGTGACCAACATATGCATGAACCTCAGCAGAGGCACAAAGGGCTTTGGGGAGCCAAGGGCTGGGATCTGGCCCCCGCTGGGGAATCAGAGACACTCACGGTAGACACACAGTGGAACTGCTGTTCGAGAAGGCGTCAAGGATTGTTTCCGGAGGGCTTGCTCATTTCCCTGTATGCTCAGCCTGGACAAACACCTGCTTAGCACACGACAGGGGCAGCTTCAGCACTGGCTGAAGGAATAAATGGGAAGAACTGGCCTTGGCAAAGTTAAGAAAAGTCATCAGATGGGGCCGGGTGTGGTGGCCCATGACTGTAATCCCAGCACTTTGGGAGGCCGAGGCAGGAAGGGGGCTTGTTCTAGACCAACCTAGGCACCAGAGCGAGAGCTCCACTCTGCAAAAAATAAATGAACCAGGTGTGGCGGCATGCCCTCTAAAGTTCCAGTTACTCAGGAGACTAAGAAGGCAGGAATGCCTGAGTCCAGGAGGGTGAGGTTGCGGTGAGCGGTGATCATGTCACTGTACTCCAGCCTGGGCCACGGAGTGACACCTTTACCTCAAACAAACAAACAAACAAAGTCGCCAGCTGGGTCAAGGCCAGGGCGAGGGAGAGCGTGGACAGTGGGTAGAAGGAGAGAGAACCGGGACTCCTGGACACCCCAAAGATGGCATCGGGCTCTGTCGGGAGAACTTTGCCATCTGTCAGGGATCCTCAGTGCTTTCTGAGAGAGGCCCCTTTAAGGCAAGTCCTTCACTCCCAAAGAATCTGCATCTTTTACGAGAATCTTACATGGAAGAAATGAGGAAGTTGAGGGTTGACCATTAGGCTGTCCAATACACTCCAAATAAAAACTCACACCGAGTAGTGCAGGTTCATTCAGGGTCTCCAAATCCCTAGACAGAAAGTTCAAGAAGACCACCTCACTTCCAATCTTTGTTTTATCTTTGGGTTGGAGTCTGACTCTGTTGCGCAGGCTGGAGTGCAGTGACATGGTCATGTCTCACTGCAGCTCAACCTCCTGGGCTCAGGCCAGCCTCCCAAGTAGCTGGAACTACAGGCGTGAGCCACCATACCCAGCTAATTTCCTTCTTTTTTTTTTGTAGAGTCATGGTCTTGCTATGTTGCCCAGGCTGGTCTCAAACTCCTGGGCTCAAGCAACCCTTCTGCCTCAGCCTCCCACAGTGCTGGGATTACAAGTGGGAGCTGCCTCACCCGGACCAATCTTTTCTAAATGATCACACCAACCAGGACTTTCGCCCTCTGTAGGACAGACTTTGTGGTGCAGACGCAAAGAGCACATGCAGGTGTTTAGAGACCCATCCTAGTGCTAATCTGAGAATACTGCAAGCCAAGATCATCCAAGAAGACGCGTGCAGCCTCCACACCTGGAGAGTTTCACTCGCTTCAGCAAACTATTCCTTGAACACCACCCACTTGCCTGTTGGGATAAACAGGCTGGATGGTGGTGATCCATAGTGAGCTGTGTAGGCACCGACGGTTCCAAGCTCATCTAAAGGGGACACAGTGACTCAGGGGCACCCCGGATACATTTGCTAGTCCCTGGTGCAGCGTCCAGCACACAAGGGACACTCAACTATTTCCTGAACGGATAGATATCGTACGGCATGTCTGAAAGAAAGAGAGGCCTTGAGATTAAGCGCTAAAACTGCCTGACCATTTTGCAAAACTGGATAGAGAATCTGGTCTCCTTCCTGGGACATGTCATCTCTACATATTTTGGGGAAATGTGCTGGTGTCCTGACTGTGCCATCATTCAGTCATCCAGCCGTCCTTCACAAGCCGCTGTGCATAACACGCCCTGCTCCTGCGGTCACCCTTCCTGCCTCGTGGCCACCCCCGGACCCACTCTGACCGACTGCCAAGAGCCCTGGCCTCTGCTTTTGTGGCTGAAGGAGGCTCCCCGGCCTGCTGTGACTGGCATCACCTTCCCCAGCCTGGGACAAGACGCCTCGTTCCTGACTTCTCTGCTTATGTCTCTGGTGAGGCCACCATTTTATTCCCTCACATGCTTCTGTCAACCGGGCATGTATCTGCTGTTCTGTTTCCAGGTCTGGGTAAGCATCTTGCAGCGTGGGCCATCTTATCCATCTCTGTCTTCAGACAGCTTTTAGTAAAGTGCCCGGCACACAGAAGTTGCTCTGTGAATCCTCGCTGACAGGGGAGAGGTCTTAGACACACTCAGCGACAGGCAAGACTAGGGTAGTCACTGCTCCTCTCTAGGCTAGGAGGAAGCGGACCGTTAGAAGGTCGACGCCTTTTGGTACGCGCCCAGACATTAGCACAAAGCGAGCACGGAAGGGGACATGCGTGCAAGGACTGATACGCTGAAGAGCAGGAATGCAACAGGGATGGGAGGTCAGGAAGCAGCTTTAAGGCCAGGAGGGCGTGGGTAGTGGCTTCCTCCTGTTTCCCAGAATGGGGGCTTGCAGGGTGGAGACCCAGACTCCATATCCACGTGTGCACCTGAGCTTTCTGTGTTGGAAACGGTGGGTGTGGACTGCAACACAGATTAGGCTGGGGGGTGGCGCTCAGTATGTTCCCAAAGGCAGAAGGTGTGTCCATCAGAAGCCAGGTCAGCATTTAAAAACCAGCTTTAACTAGAGAACTCGGGATGGCGTTATTTAAAGGGCAGGCTGGGCACAGAGGCTCATACCTGTAATCCCAGAACTCAAGACAGGACACCATAAAAAGTCAAGCGTGAGGAAAGAGTTCCATCTCACTCTCCCTCTCACCTGCAGCCTTTGTTCTGGCTTGAAAGGAGTTTTTTCTTTTTGTTCTTTCAAGGATTATGCAGATAACACACAGGACCTCACAGCTGATTTGACTCTGATAAACATGCTCCCATGCGATTCAGAGATGCTGGCAGTTCTGTTATGTTAAACACAGAATTACCACAAATGTTCTGCTGATTTTAAAGAGATGACATATGATAAGACACACAACATGAAAGTTATGCTTAGCACATGGCAAAATTAAATTTATTTTGATAGCGAGTTCAGCTGAGGATCTGGGTGTTCCCAGAGGAGGTTTTCAGGTCTAAAGAAGCCGACGGCAGGGAACAGTCTCAGCCTGAATGAAACCTGTAAACGAACTGGAAGGTCTTTTATGGAAGTTAATCACTCACGTGGACAGTCTGCTTAGTGTATGTCTCCGATTCATGTTGAATGAGCAGGTATTTAGTCTCGTGTTTTCTTTGTTACAGATGAGTGGGTTTTTACTGCACAGGTTTGCAGCATGAAATCAGAGAGTCCAGATTTTTTAAGCAGTTGCCCTAACAGTTCAGAAATAAAAGGCATCGATTCTAGGAGCGGGAAGTTTCTAGTTTCTGCTTACGCTCCTATATTCAAGGCGCGAATGCCCACAGCCACGATCACGCCATGATGCCAATCACACAGGGGCGGGCAGAGCATATGGCTCCGTCCAGTTCATCTGAAAGCTCAGATTAGGCTGGCCAAGACGCAGAGGAGGCCTCGCCATGGGGCATGTGGGCTCAAGGGGATAGAATGAGTAAAAGCGAGCCAGTAAAGATCAGATGGGACAAGACAGGACTCGAGTGCCCATGGACTTCAGATAGCCCAGTGGGCAACGGCTTTTTATTACGACAGGTGAAACCACTGGCGTGAAGTGTAAACTTAAATAGGAATGAAATGATGACCAGTTAAAGCCTCTCTATCTTCTCTCTCCTACAAGAAATGAGTAGGCAAGAAGGACCGGGCTTTTAACTGATGTTAGAAGAGCAACTTGAGAGAGGCCCGTGTCCATTGCTCGAGTCCACAAGTGGGCACCTGCCGGCCACGTTCCATTTCAAGGGAGGTCTCTCCCTGGGAAGGCAGGGAATGTTCTCAGAGACTTGCACACGCTGGGCTTAAATGCACAATAAAGAAAGCCTTAGTACCAGTCGTATCTTATTTAGCCTTTTTCCAAAGTCAGCTTTGCTCCCCTTTCTGGCTTATCACCAAGGACTAGCATGGGGTGTGGACTCACAAGGGTGCTTGCCTTTCACAGCGTGAGTGGTCTGGAGCTCTCGTGACCTAACTCGGAATCTACAAGTGAGAAATCTGTCCTTGTTTGGGCTCAACTGAAAGATGCTTTTTTAGTTAAAACTGGGCACTTGAGCCCCCCTCCAATAAAAACAAAACAAAAACAGGCTAACACAAACTGCCATATTCCACATCGATGGAGCACTTCAACCAGGAAATGAGCTTAACAGTGTTTGCTGGATGAACACAGGGGCTGACAGACATTAAAATCTGTGTGATCAGTCTTCATCATGTATTTGAACCCACTCCTCTTTGCCCAGAGCCACCATCCCTAAATGCCAGACTGGGAAAAATTGCGTTAGGCAATGTTCTACACAGGAGGTCAACCTATGGATTTATTTTTTGCTTTCAAGACGTACATGGGGCTTATCCACAAGTCCCCAAGCCCCCAGATTTCTTCCGATTCTCTTTCTCTCCTGTTGATGTGTTTTAATGAAGGGACAAGTTTATCACGCTGGTTCTTTAGGTCAACGGAGCTTCTCACTGCTTCTCTGCTTTTCTGAGTCACGCAGGGAGGAAACACAGAAAGCCAGGTGGTGACTCCCCTCTGTCCCCCCAGCACCTCCATTCATTCCTTCAGCATGAACTTGGTAGGTGTCTGCAGAAGGTTCTGGCAGTCAATCAGATGAAGCCCATCACCTCCTGGGCTTCTCTGGACACAGGGGGGTGACCCTGGAAGGACAAGAACTACTCTGCTGGGAGGTGTGTGAGAGCTGGAAGCCATGTTAATTTTCTCAATTCGTTACCACATGAACTTAGGAGAAAACCTGGGACACTCCCTAGGTGTCTGGGAAATCAGACCTTTTCTTGTTCCTGATTTAATGCTGGAAATATCTGCTTTCTAGACTACTGGCTTGTATAACCTAAATGAGACCGGATAAACCTGTCTTTAACTGAAGAAACAGAAGACAGTATTTCTTTTTTACAATGAGGTCTTCAAAGACAGAGATTTATACTGCGGGGCACTGTGAGAAATTTCAACAAACTGAGCACACTGAGCAGAGCAGAAGCCACAGGTTTAAACTTCAACATTTTATGTAAGGCCAGTGGAGACAGATGCAAGGTGTATGTGTGTAGAATCAGACTTTGTCTCACATTAACTTTTTCTATTAAAAAAATTTTAGGCCAGGAGTGGTGGCTCATGCCTATAATCCCAGCACTTTGGGAGGCTGAGGTGAGAGGACTGCCTGAGCCCACAGGTTCGAGACCAGCCTGGGCAACTTGGTGAGACCTCGTCTCTACCATAAATCAAAAATTAACCAGGCATGGTAGCACGTGCCTGTAGTTCCAGCTACTTGGAAAACTGAGGCGGAAGGATCGCCAGAGCCCAGCAGGTCGAGGCTGGGGTAGACGTGAGCATGCCACTGCACTCCAGCCTGGGGAACGGAGGGAGACTCTGATTTAAAAAAAAAATTTTTTTTTAAAACTTTTTTGAGTCCGGGTCTCACTCTGCTGCCCAGGCTGGACTGCTGTGGCACGTCATGGCTCACCGCAGCCTCGAGACCTCCTGGGCTCGGGAAATCCTCCCACCTCAGCCTCCTGAGTAGCTGGGACTACAGGCCCGTGCCACCAAACCCGGCTAATTTTTTGTAGAGGCGAGGCCTCGCTACATTGCCCAGACTAGTCTCAAATGGCTGGCCTCCACCAATTTTCTCGCCTCGGTCTCCCAAAGTGCTAGAATTATAGGTGTGAACCACTGTGTCTGGCCTTGTTTTCATATTAATTTGGGGGAAAATGGGAATAAGAGTCTGTCTTCTTTCTTACAACAAATCATCGCATGTCTTACATTTTAGCTAACTATCGTCATTTCATCTGCTGTCCTTTAGGGAAGGGATTATACAGTTCACTTTGCATTTACTTATCACAGTACCTTCGCTTTTGAAACATTTTATGAAGAAATAAGGGAAGAAGGTAAGAACACAGTGATGAAAGCTGCATTAAATCAACCACAGTGGACAGAGAGTTTCTTCCTCTCTGGGAAGGTCCGGTAAACACACCTCCCCTACTTTCCCCGCAAGGCATAACTAAAATCCCTGGGCGTCATAAAGAGGTCAAACCAGCCAGGAACCTCAGGACCCCTGTGAAGCACACAGGGCTGGGTTCTTTGATTGCTTTTGTTGGTGTTTGTGAGCCTCACAGATCCAAGACTTGGAGTAGAAAGAGCTGGACACCCAGATGTGCCTACAGGCACTGACAAAAACGGGCCCAACGGAAGCCAACTCTCTCTAGTTCAAGGATGCCCGGGGGGGGGGTCTAGCGGGGCAAAAAAAGTCTACACATCAGCAGCTTTTCTGCAGTCACACACCACTGGGGAGACGGGTCCAGCCCACCCATGTCAGCCAAGGCCCAGTGAACAGCCCCACACCACTGAGAAAATAGGCCTGGCCAAGGTCCAGTGAGCAGTCCTGCACCACTGGGAAGACCGGCCCGGCTCATCCATGCCAGCCAAGGCCAAGTGAGCAGCCCTACGCACCGGGAAGATGGACCTGGGCACACCCATCCCAGCCAAGGCCCGGTGAGTGGTCTTGTACCCCCGGGAAGACAGACCAGTCCACCCACGCCAGCCAAGGCTGAGTGAGAGGCCCTGCCTTCCAGCTTGGCCCAGCTGCAACCAGGCACCCCAACTCCTCAAACAGGTGGCATCTGAGAAGGCCGAGCAGGGAGCCGTGGCTTTCGTTTCCAACTGATGGTAAACCCCCCCCCCCCACTGTGGGGCTGTGGAGTCCTCGGGTGGAGAGTGGACAGCCACCCCACCTGGTGGTGTCACAAGTGCCTAGTCGAGCCACCGCCCGGCCTCTGCATGGTGTCTGAGGTGCCAGGGAAGAGCAGACACGAGGCCTTCCCAGCCTCCCAGCCCGGAGGCTCTCAGCTGGGGCCTCACAAGGAACATGTCTCCCACACCTGCCCAGCAGCGCCAAGGGGACCCCACGCGGCCAGGACAGGAGACCCATCTGCACCCAGCGCCTTGCCACATAAAACAGGTGACACGCCGCAGGCTTCCGTACCTGCTCCTGAAATATCTTGGCCAAGGGGGCGCAGTCCGTCAGCTTGATGAACCTCACTACGTCCGTGACCGTCCACTCCAGCGGGTTGCTCTCCAGAACAAGTCGCTCTTCTTCCTCCTGCTTTGCTTCCTGCAGAGGGAAGGAAGGAGGGTGTGAGCCACCACATGGGCACGGGGCCCTTTCAAGCCCCCTCCGGCCTGAGCCCCTGTCTCGGAGGGAAGCCACTGCCTCCCTCTGATCTCTCACTGGGCACCTGAACAAGCTTCTCTCAGTCTCTGGGGACGTGCTTAGCACTCGTCTGGGGGGATATCCCCTGCAAATGACACGTGCGCCTGCAGGGGTGAAGATGCCAGGCACGGAGACAGCCCTTCCCGAGTCCCTAGGTCAGGACCACTGTGGGCCTGCTTATAGACAAAGCGCCTCCGACTGGAGAGGAGAACCAAGGGATATTTGTACACGTGTGCAAAGGAGAGCGCTGGCTGTGCGTCCCGTGATTTTGTGATAATGCTGTCAATTACGTTTTCCACTAATTCCATGCCGCCGATGGGTTTAGGGGAAACCCAATGCGAGGATTTCATATTTTATAATACCACAGAGGCGTCCTATCCAAGAGAAGGGGAGGCAAAGGCAGATACGGGGGGTGCGGAGATGGGATTTTGAAAACCCAGAGTTCAAAGAGACCCGGCAGCCTTGAGCCTGTGTCTCCTCCCAACAAGAATCCGAGGTGGTGCATTATTTCTAAAATGCTTACACATGGTATATTTTTGCATTTTGTCAATGACTTTTTTATTTTAAACTGCTCAGTCCATGGTTATAATTCAGTACTGTAGATGAGGAGCTTAGAAGGAACCAATAGTAGCTATTTCATTTAGTAAATATCTTGGCAGACCACTGAATGGCTTCTGCAATGACTCAATTATTTTGTTGTAGTTCAAAAGTAGCCTGGTATTAAAGGCGACCAGCCTGGAAGTCCACCCTGATGCTGAATGACCTCTCTGCCAGAAGGTGAAGGCACCAGGCTTTGTCCCCAACTTGGGAGGTTTGCCAGGGCAGCTGCTGCTGATTTATACTTTTTTTTTTGAGACAGGTCTCACTCTTGTCACCCAGGTGGAGTGCAGTGGCACGCTCATGGCCACCACAGCCTTGACGTGCTGGGCTTAGGCGATCCTTCCACCTCCGTTTGCCAAGTAGCTGGGACTGCAGGCGTGCACCACCATGCATGGCTAATTTTTTACTTTTTGTAGAGACGGGGCCTCACTATGGTGCCCAGGATAGTTTCAAACTCATGAGCTCAAGCAACCCTCCCGCCTTGGCCTCCCAAAGTGCTGGGCGTGAGCCACCATGCCTGGCCTCAGTCGGATACTTTTTAAAGGTTTTACCAAATCGTGGCCCTAAACCGTACTTCTTGGACTTAAGAATAAGCAGGAAGCCCTTTGCCCCTGGGAGCATCACCTCTGTCCCCTCGGGTCTGGCGGGCGGGCACTTCTCGCCCTCCTCTGCAGAGGAGGCAGCCGGTACCCTGCGGCCCCTTCGCACCCTCTCCACGGGAGGCCGGCACGTGGGCTCTGAGCTGCTCCTCAGGGTGACGGCCCTACGGGGCCGGGCCGAGGGCACCTCTGCGGACGAGGTGTCCGTCTGGTCATCCCGGAGCTCGGAGCCAGTCTCCTCACTGCCGGTGTCGTCATCCATGGCGTCCGCGTCCTCCTCCTCACTTTCCTGGGACGGAGACAAAGACATTCAGGGGGACTGGCAGAGGGAACCCACGTGGCCGCAGCAGGGCGGCCTGAAAGACAGCCTCCGGGCTGGGCCCTGAGCCCAACGCAGACTACAGAGCGGGGTCTCCAGGGAGACCTCGGAAGGTGGATCCCACTGGCCGGGGAGGCTCTTTCCCGGCCAGGAGGCCCTTTCCTGGCCCAGGTAGCCGAGCTCCTTAAATCTGCACTCAGCCAATAAGGGAGAGGGGTTCCTTATCCAAGTTTCCCACCATCCCGTGACAAACTTTAGCCGCTGCCTTCCCTGGGAAGCAGCCACGTTCGCCAGCGAGGGTGGGAGGTGATTCCGGGCAAAACATACCTCCCCTGAGCCTGCTGCAAAGTCCACGGTGGAAGATCTCCGTTTCTTCTGCACAAAAATAGATTTCCGTCGCTTCCTCCGCCTGGCTGGTTTGGGGTGTCCACTGTCAATGTTGCTTTCTCCGATGGGGGGCTTGACAATCTTCTTCCTCTTTCCATAATAATAGGCTGTGGGGAGAAGGGGGTTTAGGAACTTTTTAAAGAAATGTATTTGTTTATTTATTTACTGAATTTCTTTTAGAGATGGGGTCTGGCTCTGTTGCTCAGGCTGGAATGCAGAAAGTTTAAGGGCACCTCCCTTCTGTTTTTTTTTTTTTGGAGTCAGGTTCTCACTCTATTGCCCAGACTGGAGTGCAGTGGCACAATCACTGGTTCATGGTTCAACTTCTCGGGCTCAGTTGAGTCTCCCTCCTCAGCCTCCCAAGTAGCTAGGGTATAAAAGGCACATGCCATAACACCCAGCTCATTTTTCTTTTTTTTGGTAAAGATGAGGTCTTGCTATGTTGCCCAGGCTGGTCTCAAACATCTGGGCTCAAGTGATCCTCCCACCTTGGCCTCCCAAAGTGCTGGGATTATAGGCATGAGCCACTGTGCCTGACCCAATTCTGACAGCTGAACCATCAGTCCGTCAACAAGCATTTGGTAAGCATCTGTTGGTGAGTCTGGGTCACAAGGGACTCCCCCCCGTATTTCTTGATTTGACCAAGACAAGTCAGGGACCCTGAACACAGGACAAATTTGTGAAGCACCTTTCCCCACTTCAAGGGGCGTTTCTTTTCTATAACATCACTGTGTATTTTATTCTTTTCTCACTCAGTGGAGACGCCTGTTACTTCTGGATTCTTGAGCAGAGATACACACGTGGATCAACAGCACACTTGTTCGAAAATCATGTGCCGATCTCCAATAATGATCCATGTATTTTATAAACTCCATGTCTCCAAACGAGTGACAGTCCCCCCAAACATCCAGTCCTCAATGACAACCAAGACAACTCACTAACCAAGGCTCAGCTGTCCCAGACGTAATTCCCTCAATCCATCAAGGAACCAAATGCAGCCAAGGGAGCTCTGTCCACAGATGCAATGAGCCAAAAGGCAATGTCAGAACGCACAAACCTAGTTTCCAGCAGCAGCCCTGCAAGGAGCTGGACATCACTGCACTTTCCTGACCCCAGTTTCCTTATGCGCAAAATGAGACCATCTGGACTAACTTTTTCGGTTTCCGTTGGGCCTGAAATCCGCTAATTCCTCCACTCCACCCTTATATTTGGTCCACAGGATGGCACTGATAAAAACTGTGGGAGGCTGGGTGTGGTGGCTCATGCCTGTAATCCCAGCAATTTGGGAAGCTGAGTTGGGGGGATCGCTTGAGTCCAGGAGTTTGAGACCAGCTTGGAGAACACAGCGAGACCCCGTCTCTACAAAAAGTCAAGAAAATTCACTGGGCATGGTGGCGACTACAGTCCCACCTACTTGGGAGGCTGAGACAGAAGGATCGCCTGAACCTAGGAGGCCGAAGTTGCAGTAGCCATGAGCATGTCACTGTACTCCAGCCTGGGTGACAGAGTGAGACCCCCCCAACTCAAAAGCAAACAAACAAAAAACAGTGGAGAAACCACACAGCAGCAGCCCTGTAACTCCCAGAGAGCACACCTGGCTCTGGGGGCCCCCGCCTGTTCTCATCATCCCCTCGAGCGGGGCCGATGGCAGGAGAGGCAGGGACAACGGCCTGTGTCCAGTCCCACCGGGACCGGGCTCCTCTGTGAGCAGGAACACACTGCTCTGGGGTGGGCCTGCTCCATGGGGACCTCGAAGCACAGGTGCACATGAACGAGCACTTATCCCCACCCAATACCAGGCAGGCAGGGTGGGGTTGGTTCAGCCTTTCTTCGAAGCAGGCTGCCGAGGACAGAAGGCAGTCAGACATCATGTGTTTAGGGCCGCAGAATTAGATCAGGTGACCCTTGCCCTTCTGGCTCTCAACTCCACCAAAACCCTGTTCTGTTTTCCTCCCATGAAGGCTGTCATTCAACCTGTGTCTACAGTCCTTATAAGGTAGCCCCAGCCAGGCTCGGTGGCTCAGCCTGTAATCCCACGCCTTGGGAGGCCGAGGTGAGTGGATTGCCTGAGCCCGTGTGTTCGAGACCCACCCAGGCAACTTGGTGAGACCTCGTCTCTACAATAAATAAAAAATGAGCCGGACGTGGTAGCACGCGCCTGTAGTTCCAGCTACTCGGAAGGCTGAGGCGGAAGGATCGCCGGAGCCCAGCAGGTCGAGGCTGGCCGGGAGCGGTCACTGCGCTCCAGTCTGGGCGACAGAGTGAGACTCCAACTCAAACAAACAAACAAACAAACAAACAAACAAAAACTAGGTAGCCCCAAGGACCCAAGGATTTCTGAAGTCTTCTCATGCCAGATCCAGAAACGTCACTGCATTTATTTCAGTTGTGTGTCATCTAGTTGTGGTCACTGCTCCTGCCCTGTCATTCCTAGTGTTCTGGAAGAACACGGGGGCTCTGTAAGATAAATATTCAGGGCCAAGTTTTGAGCCTTGATCTAGGCCTTTTTGGGTGTGTGTGTTGGAGTCTCACTCTGTCACCCAGGCTGGAGGGCAGTGGCACAATCACGGCTCACCACAGCCTCGAGCTCCTGGGTGATCCTCCTGACTCAGCCTCCCGAGTAGCTGGGACTGCAGGTATGTGCCACCACACCTGGCTAATTCTTTGATTTTTTTGTAGAGACGAGGTCTCACTATGTTGCCCAAGTTGGTCTCAAACTCCTGGGCTCAAGCAATCCTCCTGTCTTGGCCTTCCAAAGTTCTGGGATGATAGGCGTGAGCCACCGCACCTGGACGCCTTTTTAATTGAGGAGCTGCTGTGACCCTCTCCAGGCCAAAGGTAAGGGGATGTGGACACCAGTTCCTCAGGAAACAGGTGACACCCTGGACAGACACACCTGTGGGTTCTGCCTGGGAGCCCCTGTGTGCGAACTGACACAGGCCTGCATGTTCAGTGGGAGCGCAGTTGGCCTCAAGCAAGAGTGAGCATGGACGGCAGACTGTGTGTGTGTGCGTGTGTGTGTGTGTGGCACACACAGATAAAACAGAAGGAAAGTCACCCTCTGAAGAGCGCTTGAGTGCATTCAGATCCCTGGTTCCAACACACAAGCTGACTAATCACAAGGGGCCACAGCTCACAGAGTACCAAACTGACCAATCACAAGCAGCTACAGCTCATGTAGCAGCAAGTTGACGAATCAAAAGTGGCCACAGCTCACAGAGCACCGAGCTGACCAATCACAAGCAGTCACAGCTCACAGAGCACCGAGCTGACCAATCACAAGCAGTCACAGCTCACAGAACACTGAGCTGACCAGTCACAAGCAGCCACAGCTCATAGAGCACAGGTCACATGACTGGGCCCTCCAGGAGCCCTGGCTGCTAGCTGACATGGGGGCTGGAGGCTCCGGGACCCTCCAGGGCTACCTCGAGGGAGTTTTAAAGACCTCATCAGGAGAGAAGCAGATCATGACAGGAGTGTGGCCCGAGGAAAGGAGGTCATAAGAACCGCTCTGGTTCCTCAGGGGTAGACCTGACAAGTCACCTGCGTTCCAGGCCACGACTGGTCAGCAGTCTGACCTGACTCCCTCCAGCCATGAGCTGCAGAATCCGTCCATCTGCTGAAATTCATGGTACACACATTTTCCCTTTTTTTCTGCCAGGTCCTACCAGTAACAATCCACCTGCTTTTCGTCACCCTGTCCCTTCCTCAAGTCAGGAGTAAAAACACATGTATCTGCTACAGCAAGTCTTAAGGAAGTTTCTTCCTTAGCAAATTCCTAAGGAAGATTATGCAAAAAAAAAGAAAGAAAAGAGAAAGAAGATATACAAGCAGCCAACACACATGAAAAAATGCTAAACTTCAATAAGCATCAGAGAAATGCAAATCAAAACCACAGTGAGATGCCACCTCACACCAGCCATCCACAGTGGACTACTGAATAAAGAAAATATGGAAAACGGTGTGGAAATTCTTAAAAGAACTAGAAACTGACCTTCATACGACCCAGCAACCTCCCTTCTGGGATTATACCGGGAGGAACTCAAATCATTTTACAAAAAAGACATGTGCACATGCATGTTTACTGCAGCACTATTCACAATAGCAAAAACATGGAACTAACCCTGCTGCCCACTGAAAGTGGACTGTCTAAAGAAAATATGGCACCTATATACAGTGGAGTATTACGCAGTTGAAAAAAAGGACAAAATTATGGACTCTGCAGAAATTGGATGGATTTAGGAGTCCATCATACTTAGTGAGCTATCACAGAAACAAAGGACTGGGTACCACATGTTCTCACTCATAAGCGGGTTCTGAATATTTATCACAATACTACAAGAGAGGGCTCGGCAGTGGCGGGACACTGCTGGGAGGGGGGATGGGCATGTGGCATCACTTAGGGTAACTGATCCTAAATCAGGGGAAGGGAGGACCATTGGGGGCCCAAATGTCCCTGCACACAGACTATTTATATACTTAATCCTGACTTGTACCCACATCCTTATAATAAAACAAAGTTAAAAAAGAAAGAAAAGAAAGCTGTTACTTTGCACGCTCATCTAAAAAAAATGTGGTACATACACACTGTGGAACACTATGCAGCCATAAAAAAGGATAAAACCATGTCCTTTGCAGCAACGTGGATATAGCTGGGGACCGTCATTCTAAGTGAATTAACTTGGAAACAGAAAACCAAATACTGCATGTTCTCACCAGTGGGAGCTAAGCCCAGGGTACACATGGGCATAAAAATGGGAACAACAGACCCAGGGATTCCTAATGGGGGAGGAACGGGCAGATAAGGGCCGAAAAACACTGGGTACCACAGAAGCCCAAGCCCCACCATCATGCAGTATACCTATGCAACAAGCCTGCATAGGTAAGCCCCCTTGAATCTCAAATAACAAAGAAAGAGAGAGAACAAAACAAAAATCCCCCAAACCAAACGGATCACGCTGTAGGTCAGGCCTGGGATGTGTCCGTTTTCTCATTACTCGTACTTACTGTATTTGGTTTTGGTGTGAATAGAGCAGTTCTCTGGGCAGTTTTCAGAGACCAGCACGGGGCTGAACAGATTTGGACAGCATTCCAGCTTGGCGCAAACCCGGCGGCAGAAGTTTGCTACTTGGTCAGAGGTTCGCACGATCTTGACCACGGCCCTGTAGGTTTTGCCTCTGTACCTAAAAATCAGAAAAGGCAAAGCAACTGTGAGACCAAATTGTTATCCAAATTGTTCTGTACAGCACAACCCAGACGTAACCTCTGCATTTCTTTTTCTTTTCTTTTTTGAGTTGGAGTCTCACTCCATCGCCCAGGCTGGAGTGCAGTGGCACGCTCCCGGCCACTGTAGCCTTGACCTGCTGGGCTCAGGTGATTCTCTTGCCTCAGCCTTCCAAGTAGCCAGAATTACAGGCACACGCTATTACACCTGGCTAATTTTTGATTTACTGTAGAGACGAGGTCTCGCCAAGTTGCCCGGGCAGGTCTCGAACCCGTGAGCTCAGGCAATCTACTCCCCTTGGCCTCCCAAAGCACTGAGTGAGCCACCGAGCCCAGCCATCTCTTCATTTTCTAATAAAAAACCATGCTGTTTCAGCGGTTTCCATTTGACTTGTTTTTATATTTCCTCATGATCTCACAGAAATGTTTTTAAGAAACGCTCACTAGCAACTAGGTGCAGTGGCTCATGCCTATAATCCCAGCACTTTGGGAGGCCAGGGTGGGAGGATCACTGGAATCCAGGAGTTCGAGACCCACCTGGGCTCCATAGCGAGACCTTGTCTCTACAAAAACATCAAAAAAGTAGCCGGATATGGAGGCATGCGTCTATAGTGCCAGTTACTTGAGAGGCTGAGGTGGGAGGATCACTGGACCCCAGGAGGCAGAGATTGCTGTGACCTGTGATTATGCCACTGCACTCCAGTCTGGGTGGCAGAGTGAGATCCTGACTTAAAAAAAAAAAGAAAGAAAGAAATGCTCACTAGCATGCACAAAACATGTGACAACAGTGCAAAATTCCAGAATCCACTGCAAGAAAGACTCCTGTATCGCAAGTTCTCACCGCGTTATACATAATAACTTCACCCCAAAGATTAGTGGTGGACGGTATGTGCCCAGTGGGCTCGGTTCTCAAGATGAAGTTAATGAAATAGGATAGACATTTTCCTGTTACTCTCGTCTTTCATTTCTGACCAAACGTGAGTGCATGTGGCATCACCATTCTGCCTTGAAATCCCTGCCAACTCAGAACGCTGAGATGCTGTCTTGGTGGAGACTGCATCTCATATTGTTGAAATGGGGACAATTTCCATTATTCATAAATGGCATCTGTGCAGCATGGGGAGAGGCAGGCAAGGTCACATTTAAAAGGAGAGAGACACAGTGGATTTTATGAGCAGGGGGAAAAAAATCCACAAAAAGGTGCAGAGCAGCCCTGGGATGAGGTCTTGGAGGAGGAGGCCTGGGCGCCTGGACGCTGGCTGCAGCGACCTGGATGCACACGGAACCATCCGTCAGGGGCCCCTGGGGACTGGCAAAAGCTGAAGAAAAGGCCTGGGTGCCTGGACGCTGGCTGCAGCGACCTGGATACACATGGAACCATCCATCAGGGGCCCCTGGGGACTGGCGAAAGCTGAAGAAAAGGCTTCTGTATTTCTCAAGTGTCAAGGAACAGTGGGGAACGGGGAAGCCGTCACCACACCCTGCCCATGAGGGGAGCTGGCCTCTCCGCTCCCCTACTGAGAAGTGAAAGATCACCCGGGAACCACAGCTTGCTTCCAGAAAAACCACCCAGCTTCACAGTACCCCTCTGCCCCCGCGGTTTTGGTTTCTTCTTTCCAAAGCAGTAAACCCAGTCCTTTCTGAACATGCATACCTCCGGCGATTCTGGGAGGATTCTATCCTCGATGGAGAGACAGGCAGTGGTGAGGTCAGACTCGAATTAGAACATGGGCGCCGGAAACAACCATCCTTATGAATCTCTATTTCTTTTATTTCTTTTTTACATTTTTTATTTTAAAGATGTGGGGTACGATTCAGGGATAGGCGTACAAATGTTCATTATGCAGGTACCCTTGTGGATGAGGTGTGCCCCCCTGCCCTGGCAGTTTCCCACTACTGCCAATCCCTTTCCTATAGTATTAACAATAGTTATTCAAGGTCCACTTATGAATAAGAACATGTGGTACTCAGTTCTTTGTTTCTGTGATAGATCACTCAGTATTACAGACTCTAAGTCCATCCAGGTTGCTGTGAAGTTCCTAACTTTGTCCTTCTTTATGGCTGCGTAATATTCCATCATGTATATGTACTACGTTTTTTTAATCCAGTCTTTTTTCGATGGGCAGCATGGTTGGTTCCATGTTTTTGCTATTATGAACAATGTTGCAATATATACACGTGTGCAGGTATCTTTCTTATAGAGTGATCTGAGTTCCTTTGAGTATATTCCCAGACGGGTGATTGCTGGGTCATACGGAAGGTCGATTTTCGGACCTTTTAGGAATCGCCAAACTGTGTTCCACAGAGGTTGTACTAGCTTACACTATCACCAACAGTGTAGATTATTAGACAGAGGTCTTTGGAAAGCCACAGTCTTCGTGTGCATACTAGGAATAATAAAATGCATTTCTTTAGTTATAAACCAGAAAATCTAAGCAAGAGGCCTCACAGAGAGCTTCATTCTTATTATGGACTGAACTGTGTTCCTCCCAAATTCACTGACTGAAGCCATAACCACTGATGTGACTGTAACTGAAGACGACGACTTTAAAGAGATAATTCGGGACAGGTGCAGTGGCTCAGGCCTGTAACTACAGCACTTGGGGAGCTCAAGAGTTTGAGACCAGCCTGAGTAACAAAGCAAGATCTCCTCTCTACAGAAATATCAAAAAATTAGTTGGGTGTGGTGGCATGCGCCTGTAGTCCCAGCTACTCAGGAGGATGAGGTGGGAGGATCACCTGAGCCCGGAAGGTCAAGGCTGTGGTGAACCATGATTGTGCCATGGCACTCCAGCCTGAATGACAGCGTGAGACCCCAACTCAAAATAAATTTACTAAAAATAAATAAAAAGGTATTTACGGTTAAATGAGGTCATAATAATGACGTCTTATAATGGCGGCATTATAAGAAGATGAAAAGACTGGGGGTGGTGGCTCTCCCCTGTAATTCCAGCACTTTGGAAGACTGAGGTGGGAGGCTCACTTGAGGCCAGGTGTTCAAGACCAGCCTGGGCAACAAGTGTGACCTCATTTCTATGAAAGAAAAAGTGATCCAGGTGTGGTGGTGCATGCCTATGATCTCAGCTACTTGGGAGGCCAAGGGCGGAAGGATCGCTAGCAGCCAGGAGTTCAGGGCTGCAGCAAGCTATGATCACACCACTGTGCTCCAGACTGGGTGACAGAGCGCACCTTGTCTTTAAAAAAAAGAAAAAAAAGAAAAGACGAGACATCAGGGGTGCACATGCATAGGGACTAGACCATGGGAGGTCATAGCAAGAATGCAGCCGTCTGCAAGCCAGGAAGAGAGACTCTGGAGAAACCAACCCTGGCATCTCAGTCTTAGACTTCCAGACTCCAGAACTGTGAGAAAATCATGGTGTATTGCTTAAGCCCCCAGGCTGTGATGCTTTGTTACAGCTGCCTGAGCTGGATTACAACTCTCATACCTCAAAGGGGAGGGGGGGACAAGGACGGGACCCCAAGACATTCTGTCAGCATCTTGCCACCACAGCGCTTTCTCTCTCTCTCTCTCTTTTAAATTTTGAGTTGGGGTCTCACTCTGCTGACCAGGCTGGAGTGCAGTGACACAACAGCTCACCCCAGCCTTGACCTCCTGGGTTCAGGCGATCTTCCCGCCTCAGCCTCCTGAGTAGCTGGATTTATAGGCATGCGCCACCACGCCTGGAGAACTTTTTGATTTTTTGTAGAGACAAAGTCTCACTATATTGCCCAGGCTGGTCTTGAACTCCTGGGCTCAAGCGTTCCTCCTGCGTTGGCCTCCCAAAATGCTGAGATTACAGGTATAAGCCGCCGTGCCTGGCCTCCCAAAAGTTTTTCAGAGTACCAGATACACGAGATCCAGAAATACGGACGCCTTTTCTACTTATCTACAATGAGCTGCTTTTCCAGGACAGATATGCTAGAACAAACTAGCATTGCCTACCAAGATGGCTGCTCTCCCGCCTGGATACTTGAATATAAGTTAATCTCCCATATCTTCCCCTGCCAGCTAGCAAGAGCAGAACATGCACGATTGCTCTTTAAGCATAACTACTTAAGAAACATAAAAATGAAGTTCCCCCTCCCCCAAAACACCAACATGACAAAGAATTTACAGTGAGAAATGCTTCTAGAATCTAAATATCGTCACTGTTTGCTCATGTTTGAGAAAAACAATCAAACGGTCTCCTCCTGCCCAAGAGAAACCACATGCCATGAAGTTACCAACATACGAGGGGGAACCCCCCCCAAAATCCTAGAAGCTATTGTAAAAAACTGTGTATTCTTCCATGCTTAAACTTCGGTCACTGTCAAAGTCCTCTCCATTTGATGTAAGACACCTATGGAGACATTTCTTCCACCACTCAAAGCAGTTTTTGGACTTGTCCATTTTGATGCCTTCTAGTGCTTCTGCTGTTTTTTGTTGCACCTCCAAAACGTTTCCCTTTGAGGACTTTTTCATCAGGGAAGGGAAAAAAAGTTGCTGTGGGTGAGATTGGGAGAATAGGCAGGGTGGGCCTGAGGGGTCATGCTGGTTTTGGTCAAAAACTGCTGAACACTCAGCGTGGCATGGGCAGATGCACTCAGAAATCACCCATCATGAAATGGGCAAACGCGTTGAAAGACTCTCAAAAAAAAAAAAAAAAATCACCAAAGCCAAATGCAGCCTCTTAAAACAATACTGGCTAGTACCCGGATGCTGCTGGGTTCCTAGAACACTTACCTAGCAGGGGAAGCCTGAACTACAAGGGCCCGCCCTCCAAAAAGATGATTCCGTATTTTTGTGTATGCAACGTGCCCTCCCCCAACATAAAACTGCAAAGAGGATTGGATGGGTTTTTATTTTAAATACAGGCCTTTATCCAAATATTTATAGCAATATGTTGTCAACCATGCCTGGCTGAAAACGTGAGCCCTTGAAAATAAGTTCCAATCACCTTTCAATACATCTTAAAAGTGA